TAGAGCGGGGGAGTGGAGTGGGGGGGAGAGTTTGAGAGGCTCTTGCCCCACAGGGGACATGGAAGCAGGCCGTCAGCATGAATATGGGTGGCTACAGGTTGAGGTTCTTGGCATGAGGGACTCATTGGGGAATTCGAGACTGACTCACCACTGCCGTCAGCTGTGTGTGTGTGTGTGAGAGTGTGTGTGTAGGTGTGTTCTACTGTGCTTGTGCTTTATAAAAGTGCTTCCTCCATCCCTCTCCATCTCCTACCCTACCCTACCCTGTTACTATACTCTACCCTACCTTACCCTACTCTGCCCCACCCTACCCTACCCTATTCTATTCTCTGTTTGAGACAGGGGTTCTCGCTGAACCCGGATCTTGCCATTTCAGCTAGACTGGCCGGCCAATGTGCTCCTGGGACCTGCCTATCTCTACACCTCCAGCATTGGGGTTATAGACACAGCTGCCAGGCCAGCTTTTTACATGAACACTGTTGCTCCAAAGTCAGGTCGGAAAGCTTGAATGGCAAGGGCTCTACCCACTGAGCCATCTCCCAGCACTTCAATAACCTTCTTCAATAACCTGGGACCTCGAATGCCTACCACACTGTAGGGGTGGGGGGAGAAGGGGGAAAGAGAGTTTGACCTAACACTAGAGTGAAGAGAGGAGTGTAGAGTAAGGCCACGCCTCAGCCTGCCCTCTTCAGCTCTAGGGGCAGAGGATCTGTGCTGAGCTGTAGGCATGTTGGCTGCCAAGAATTAAAGAGATTTCAGACTCCTTGAAGCCCCCCCATTTGTGTGCAGGGCCTGTCAGTTGTGAGCTGTGGGCTAGTCCATGGCTCTCCCCTAAGCAGCCTGTCTGAGGGCCTCTTGCTCTCAGAGAAGCACTAAGGAAAGACTGCCATGCTGTGCGGGGTCGGGGCTGGGGGTGAGGCATGACTGAGATACGCTTGCCGCCTGTGGTACTGAGCAGCAGGGTGGAGCTCGGTCTGGCTAGGTCTCTCTCTCTATCTCTGTCTGTGTCTCTATCTCTGCCTTTCCTTGTGTCTTTCAGTGTCTTTCTGTTTCTCCATCTCTCTGTCTCTGTCTCTGTCTCTGTCTCTCTCTCTCTCTCTCTCTCTCTCTCTCTCTCTCCACTGCCATTGTCATCCAAACACAGCTTCTTCCTCTAGAAACCTTTTCTGACCAGCCTTAGTCCGAGTTGAGAGTCCTGATTCAAACCAAATATGGTTGTAGGGCAGACACGTGGCTTTACACTCTACCAACAGCCTGCCACCTCACTCTGTGACCACAGGCTCTCAGAGGTGGGTCTTGGGACATTCTAACTGAACATGCTTGCTGGGGACACAGGACAGTTGGGGTGACAGCAGTTCTCAACTCTCGGTTCCGCATCTGCAGCCACTTGACATTTCTTCAGCCCTCCCCCCCTTCCTTCCTGGGACAGAACTGTGAGACATAACTCCTCCCCTCCCTTTGTGCCTCTCATTCCTCCTGAGGCCCTCAGTGCGGGTCCTTCAGGAACTGGCGCTGACCCAAGTTTCAGCCTCCCCAGCCTTAACAAGTACTATCACACAGGGGTTGCCTGTCACCTCCAAGGTAGGGTGAAGAAAACAACTACCTAACACCAGGTAAAGTACTGGTCCCCACTGTCCTGAGTACTCACATGTCATCCCATCCTCGGCATCCTGGGCACTGGCACCCACACGGTGTCTCACAACTTTCTGTAGCTTCTGGTCTCCGTGGGTACTGCATGCAAATGTTGTACAGACATACATGCAGGTCAAACATCCATACACATAAAATTACACACACACACACACACACACACACACACACGAAGGGGGCAGGGCAAGGAAGGGAAGGGAGAAATAAAAAACAAAGGACAAAGTAAGGTTGATTCCTTAAGGCCACAGAGCTTGGAAAGGGTAGAACCTGGGTCTAGACTTCAGCTACCTGATGCCTAAGCCTTGGCTTTTCTTCTTTAAATCTCTCCGCTTGCCTGCTTTGTTGTCTGTGGAGTTCTAGGAAATGTTGGCTGCATTTCACCAGCAGGGTCTGATGCAAGGCCCCTGGGTATTTCCATGTGGTCCCTGAGCGAAACCTTGGGTGTGCAGAGCATTGTATCAACATCCAAGATGTCTAGAACAAGCTGGCCCCACGCCCTGAACAGGGAAATGCTGTTTGTGGCTGGTGCTGCGGTTGGAGTGGTGTCTTTTGGTTCATGAGTCAAGGGACCACATGGAAACACTTTAACTGGCCCTGAGAGGTCCTGGCTGGAAGCCACTAATGGCGGCAGGTCCAGTAATTTAGAGAGGCAGGTATGGTTGCTGCCAAATCCTGAGGGGATCTGTTTGGAGACTGATCAGCCCTTGCTGCTCATGGGAAAGGCCATCATGATGAGATGGGCCAGCCCTGCAAGTGGAACCCTTCAGGGAAGAGCTGCTCTGCTCTGCGCTGTTAGGCTGTGTTGGGTGGTGACCACGGCTGCTGAGATTATGAGCAAGTTTATCTGTGATCCTGTCTGTAAGTTTCTCCTCATTTCCAATGATCTGCCAAGGGCCTGAGACCCCACCAGCCCACACATGATAACCTAGACAAGTGACAAAGGCACTTGGCATGTCTCGAAAGACAATTCACACTGTAATAGCTGGCTCTGGCAGACAGGCCATGGTGGTACAGACCTGTGAGAGGGGAGGCATGCAGCGCAGGCCTGCCTGGCTCTCTGAGAGAGTGGATGATCTCCTCTGCCTCCCTTCTTGGTCCTGACCACACAGGCTGCAGCGTACAGGCCCTCCCTCGGGCCTCGGGGGACAATGGCCTCCCCCCGGCATCATCTGCAAACCTCATCTGCAGGCTGAGAGCTTCCTCCCAGGTGGGGCTGCCCCTTCTCGGAGCTCAATTTCCCCATCAGCTCCAGGCCATATATCTTGCCCTGCTTTCTCCTGATGCTTTATAGCTTGCTGGAAACACTGTTCCTTAGCACTTCGAAAGGTACCACTTGAAAGCACCTCAAGCTAACCAACACGATTCTTTTTTAATTTGAGTGGGCTTATTCCTTCGAATGGCTTTCCTGATCTCAGGAGGGCGTGCTCCCTAATATTAAACATTTTTTTTTCTTTAAAAAGAGCATGCAAAAAAATGACTCACATCTGTTTGATATTTAATTCAAATCGAATGGCAGGACAGGAACAAAATTGCTCTGCAAAAGGCCATAAAGCGTGATGTTTAAGAGAGCCAAGCATGCTGAACCTACATGCCGGAAAACAGGGAGAGACAAAGATAGAAGGGATGCAGCTGGGGCGGTGGGGTCTCTCCTGCCCTGACGCTGGCTGAGGACAGCAGTGTCACTGAGAGAGGAGGCGGCAGGAGAAGGAGACAGTGCACCCTGGAGGCTGCAGAGGAGTGTCTTTCCTGACTCCAGAGGGTCCTAGAGCCCAGCACTGGCAACTGCAGGGTGGTGGTGCCCTGGCACTCTTCGGGGGCTGCTGGGCAGCTCTACACAGACAGCCTGGGTGAGCAAGAGGTACTGCCCTCCTCTTGGTGTCCAGGAGGCAACCCAGTGAACCCAGGCTAAAACCCTTCATTCTTCCCTGCTGATCCATTTTCCAGAAACATCACCATCCTGTATTCCAGATGCAGAAGATGAGGCTCCGGTCTTGTGAGAAGGAAGGCGACACAGCCCGTCACTGGCTCTGAGCTCGGAGACAGAAAGGCCTTCGGAAAGAAAGACAGGATGATGGCCGTGTATCGGCTGCTTCCACCAGGCTGCATTTTAGGTAAAGGGCTGACTCCAGTCCTTAAGCTCTCCACCTATGAAATCTGATGGGTCACCCTTCCCAGGCAAGCCTCAGCGAGGAGGCTCCACCAGAGCTGGCCCTGGGCTGCCCGTCATTGAAAGCATGGACGGAGGAGTGGGAAGTGAGCAAAGTCTGAGGGCAAGAGAGATGCTGGTAGCACTCCTAACCAGCTGGGCAGGCTGGGGTCACACTGACCAGCCAGGCAGGCCCAGCTGGACGGGCTAGGCTCACTTCTGCTCTCTGACCCTTCATTCCCGTGTCTAGAGCATGCACCTGCTTAACCTCCTCCCGAGGTTACTTCTGTTCTCTGTGGTGGAAAGCATAAACAAATTTGCTCTTGAATGGTAAAATAATCTCATTTTAAGGCATTTTCACTCTGCTCCAGCCAGCACCTGGGTGCAAGAGACCAGCATGCTTGGTCCCACGCGGTAGGGTGCTGAGGCTCTCTCCAAAGAGTTGGTGGTGAACAATTATGAGATGTCAGGGTGGGGAGCTGGCTCCGCACTTGCTCACCTAGGAGCCATATTGGGTTCTCAGCACCCACGAGGCAGCTTACAACCATCCATAACCTCAGTTCAGGCAATCACTAGGCACGCGCTTTGTGCACAGACACACACACACACAAGGCACCCACTCATGCATAATAACTTGCCTTTTAAAAAGATCATAGGCATCTCAGCAGAATGAAGCCATTTGATTTAATAATAAATTAATAATAAATTGCATTTAATCATTTATAAGGATAAATAACTTTTTAGCTGAATTATTAAGTTACATGAGGTTAGTTAAACCAGCTGGATTTAAGATGAAGCAAACAACCAAAGCTCATTGTTTCCTAAGCATTTGTTGTATCTACAGTCTTTACATTTATTTTTATTGACGTGTATGTGTGTGCCTGCTTGTTTGTATGTGCGCCGTGTGTGTTCAGTGCCCACAGAGGCTAGAAGAGAGCGTCAGGTTCCCTGGAAATGTAGGTGCAGGCCCTTGTGCGCCAGGAGACCAGTGCACACTGGAGGCTGGGGGTGGGGGTGGAGCTTTCCTGACTCAACAGGGTCCTAGGGTCCAACTCTGGCAGCTGCAGGGTGGTGGTGTCATAGTGCCCTTCAAGGGCTGCTGGGTAGCCCTACGCAGACAGCCTGGGTGAGCAATAGGCGCGGCCCTGCTCTTGGTGTCCAGGAAGTCAACTCCTCATCTGTGTGGTAAAAACCAGTATGCGCTCCTGCCGTTAGAAGCATTGTGGGCGTGGCTGCTGTGTCACATGTGCGTCAGTAGGGGGCAGAGGGGAGAGGCTGTGTGTACACTCAATGTTCCCACCTATGGACATCGGACTCGGTAGCCTAACAGTCCCTGAAGAAGAAGAGGAGGAGGAAGAGAAAGAGGAGGGGGAACGAGTGTGTGCTTCCCTGAGTCTTCTCCCTTCCATTCAGCAAGGTCACCTCGTAACAGGTCTCTCAAACCGGACCATAGTCAGAAGAATTACACCACAGAGAGAGGCGGATGCTGCCATGAGAGTCCCTGGAGCAGAGAGCCAGGTGTGGGGCATTCAGTGGCTCTGGCCCTGACTGCAGGGGCTGATGAAGGATCTGGATCTGGGGGTTTCTTCCTCTGAGTCGAGGGCATCTGTCTCTAGGAGGAAATCCCTTGAGAGTTGTCAAAACATTCACCCTGCTTTCGAAGGCACTGCTGAGATTCTCAGATGGGAGCGCTTTCTCTTTCTTTAGCAGAGGAGAGAAAATCGCAGCTCACAATTACCCTATGGTTTTCTGTTACCCGGACTTCGGCAGGGGTCCTGTAGAGTGCCCACCCGGCCCTCATGGGCAACAAGTCTGAGCACATGTGGCTTTGAGATGTTTCAACCCTAAACCTACAGGCCCAGGAGACACGGAATACAAAACTGAAAGGCAGCCTTCCCTATTAGCTTCCTGCCTAGGCCTCCAATGAGCGTCCACGGGGGCCATGTGATCCTGGGTAATGAGGCTCAGTGCTGGTTCCAAGGCTCCAGCCTGCTGCCAGTCCTCCTGGGGCAGAGTCCAAGAGTTGTGTGCCTGTTTCTGAGTGGTGAAGAGTCGGAGGCAAGGCCTGTCTGGAGACAGCTCCGGTGTCAGACAGAGGAGTTATGGTGTGGGGCCTTGCAGCGCGCTGCTGCTGGCTCCTGGGCTCAGTGACAGCTTCTGCAGTAAAGCCATGCGGAGCACTTGGCTGTTCAAAGTCTGTTTAACAGCTCTAGCAACAGCTTTATCAAGGCTTCCATGAGGGTCCGCTCAGTTCCTTCCTAGAAGCCAGCTTTTACCCCACCCGAATTCTTCCTCATAGCTCACCCTCCTGCCTTCAGGGGCTTACTGAAAACCTACTGAGCTGCCAACCATGTCTAAGAGCATTCATGTCTAAGAACATGTAGGGTTCTTCTAGGAAGTTCTAGGGAGCAGACATCTAAAATGGGGTACTGACTCCTATGGAGATGAGGACTTCTGTGCCATAGATAACTGCTTTCAGTCCCATTTGAGTGTCCCAGCACTGTGGAGCTTTGTGGTGGAGGGCTCTTCTTAGTGGGAGCACCAAGGGATCCTTCTGGAAGGATTCAGTGCCTAGTGTGATGGCTGGGACTTAGTCCCTGCAGTTCATGTACTGATTGTTTTACATGTTGTTGGTTTTTTTCTCCCCATCTTAACAGAGATGAGGTAGGTCCCGACAGTGCTGTCATCTTATCGACGAGGGACAGGTGGCATGTGTGATAATGGAAGTTTCTAGAATCGGTAGGAAACAGTGGGGGTTTGAGTATTGAGAACAGACACCTCTCTCTGCTCTGTGCTCTGACTCCTGGGAAGGGGCACCTCAAAGTAGGGAGTTGTGGTGTCCTGGTAAGGATGTGTGAGAGCCAAGCCAGACCACACCTGGCTCTTCCTGTGTGTCACTCTGCTGCAACCATTCTCTGACCCACGGATGTTTAGGGTAGAGTGGTTGGCAGCAGAGCACCTGGCGTCAATAGGAGCCAGAGAGGAGAGGGGCTATGGCATCCTCTGGACTAGGACTGCTCCCATCCTACCTGGTGGCTACCCTAGGGCCCAGGCAAGGCTAAGGGACACTGACACAGAACACAATGGGTTTGTGTTGGAGTTTGGCTGCCCACAGACCCATCATGTTCTTCCCTTTTCTGCTCTGTGGGGCAGGGACCCTTCAGGCCATCTCTTAGTCTCAGTCTCCTTTGCCAGCTGTTTTTGCATGAAGGGCTCAAGCAGCTGTGCTGCAGCAGCTGTGCTGCCATGACAGGCTTCATAAGATACTCCAGGCCTGACTTTCCATTTCCTGGGAATGCTCCCACAGTTGCTTAGGTCCTTATTCTCTTTCTCAGAACATGAAACTATAGTCCACGGAAATGAGATACAATAACTCAATGACCTCCCTGAGAATCAGAAACAATAGTTTAGTCAACCTTTGCTTAGCTAGTTGGAATGATATTGTTACCTGGACACAGCTTGTTACTTGAACACTCTATGAAGTGCCCCCACCCCCATCCTCTAGATCAGTACCAACTGATCAGTTTAGGACAAGCTTGCTTCTGCTAAATGGGAACCAGTCATGTAACTGAAAGTCCTGTGCCTTCCTCAAACCGTAATAAAAACCCAGCTTTGCAGCCACTCAGGGCTCCTTCCCTAATCCGCTGCATTAGATAGTGGGAAGTCCAAGCTTAAGCCTGTGATAAAGGCTCTCTGTTCTTGCATACGTGATCAGTCTCCTGGTGGTCTTTGTAATCTGGGCACAACATTTGGGGGCTCGTCCGGGATCCCCAAGACACTCCCTCACCCCAGGACCCCTGACACGTTGAGTCAACAGCCAATAGCTGGCTGGTGTTTGTCCTGCTTGTTTGTCATGTTCCTGACTTGGGCCCAACTGGTAAACATGTAAACCTGCATTTGCCTTGGGAAGTCTTAAGTGGACCGGCTTAAAGACCTCGAGCCATGGGATCTAAGAGAGTCTCAGGCCCACCTGTAGGAGATTGGATTCCCTTTGCAATTTTGATCTGCAGCACGGTGAGAGGCCAGCATCTCACTTTCAGTTTTGCCTCCATTAGCTAGGAGGACTGAATTTATTTGTCTGTATGTTAATTGTTGGTCTTGTGTTTATTGTTCTTGACTAGGGAGATGGGACAGACAACGACCCCAACCCCCTTGACCCTTGTTGAGAGCCATTTCAAGGAAGTTAAGGAACAGGCTCACAGTTTAAGCTAAGAAGTCAGAAAGGAAATGTTATGGTTTCATGTTTGCTTTATTTTGACTGTTGGCTCCATTTCTCTCTTCTCTGTCCCTCTTCCTACTCCATAGATTTCTCCTTACAGCATGGAACTAGAGAGTATAAATGCTGCTTTACTTTAAAACAGCCCTAGCTGGGGCAGGAGGGAGGCACTTAGGAGTTATTGCCAACTTCTTTTGGTGAGTTTCAGGGTAACTGCCAAATGTCTCACAGATATGTCAGGTAACTTGGTTAGTTCAGGGACCTGCAGAATCCCCTACTGACTTTTTAGAAAGACGCGTGAAAAAAAAATGGCCAAAGAATCTGGGAAAATAGACGATGGCTCATTCCTTCCTAGTTATTCCTGAAAACTCACTTTTCCTTGAAAGAAATATCTTCGTGTTTCATATTCCGAGGAAAGGACCAAACTTCTTTTACTGGCCAGTTTACTCTTGACTTGGTTTTAACTCATTTCAAGATCTGCACCTTTCAGCTAGGAATGCCCCCACCTTCTGCCTGAATGAAGCTGGCAACCAGCTCAGAGCTAGGCACTAGCTGCTTAGCCTTTCCGATAGGAAAACTGATGACTAGTCATGCTACAAAACCTCTGTGCCCATGAGAAATGGATTCAGCAAGTAACAAGAGGCTCTTTCCTTGAAATTACAACTGAAAAAAAAAGTTTAAAAAAATATCTTTTTTAAATGTATAGGTTTACTATGTTCTGGATAATTTGTTTATGTATGGTTAAAAAAATCTGACACAACTGGAAAAAGTTAACTTACATTATGTTTTTCTTATATACCAATACTTAAGCCACTGGTGCTGGTATTGTTTGGTTTTCTATTTTAACTCAGAAAGAGTCAAAATATTTCTGAATGTAATGCTAAAATCTTGGCAAAAAAAAAGATATCTAAATATATAGGTGAAAACTATTGATCAAACATGCTTCTCTCCTGCTTCATAGTTGAGACAGGAAATGTATACCCTCGGCTGCTTAAGGGAATGTTACTGTTTTGAGACAGGGTTTGAGACTGTGCTTGATTAATGAAGCATTAAAACTGCCCTTCTATGTGTTCATATACAAGAACTTTTCTTGCTGGCAGCCAAACTTTATGACATCAAAATAATATATATGGCATTGATTTTAGAGATTGTTTAACAACTTTTAAGTACATAAAACTACAGGACATTTTAAAATTTATCAGATATTTACAAAATGTCTTATTAATGTGTCATCTTGATAAATAGATAAATCAATAAAAACTACTATTGAAGCATATTAGGGTTAAATGCCTAATTTTCCTATGCTTCACTTTGTTAACCAGGAAGAAAAAATATTCCTGTTTAGGTTAATAAATTTTAAGACTTGGATGCCTCCATTGTTCCCTAGGCAAAGATAGTTACATGACAATTTGACTATTGATATTTAAGCCTTGAATGATACAATTTCTGTCTCTAATTGTACTTCTAAACTATGGTCCATAGGAAATTTTTTGAAAATTTTGTTACTTGGCTATACTAAAAAATACCCCAACCTTAAGAACAATTTGCTATTCCATGTATGTTTTAAATAAAAAGGAAACTATTTTAAAAGTCATAAAATTGGCCTAGTCTAAGAGAAGCATATGCCAGGGAATTTTCAAATTAAAATCCGTGACTCCTGGGCCACTAAATGTTTTTTTCAGTTCCTGAAAAATCAAGACACTCCCTAAAGCATTGAAACATTCTAGCTACTTTGTGTTTTTCCTTGTTCCCTAAAAGTCAATGAAGCAAACAGGGGCTTGACAGGTCAACGGGTCTTAGACATTAATCTTATGTACCCTGTATAGCTTGCAAACATCACTTGCACAATGTCCTGGCAACTACAATATTAATAAAAATCACTAACTCATAAGGTCTATATATAGGCTAACAGAGACAGATTTAAGGATATATATATTTGATTTCCGTGTTTTTACTAGCATTATTAGGAGAGCTTGTTTTCATAAACTGGGTCATACAGGAAACTATTATGTTCTATGGTAATATGCTACATGGGCATGAAGGAAGTTCCCAATCTCTGTATTTAAGGATTTTGATGTGAAAGAGCTTCAATTCAATGATTGTCATTTTATTATG